TTACAGTGAAATTTTCTTGTCGCCTCTATATGTAGAGGTAAGCTTACAGTCGAATCATGTAAATTTTGGTATTCTTGTTGTCTTCTTTTTTTTTTTTTTTACATTTTATTTATTGTTACTTGTTTGACTATTTTTCTTGAGAATTTATTTTGTGACCATATTAGCTTGTTTGGTTTGGGTTTTTCAGCAAATTTGTATTAGAGTAATTGTTTCCACTATCTTTGTAGTATTTGCAGGGGAGTAAAACCCAAAATCCCTCCTCCAATCACTTTAAAAAGAAATTTTGATTCCTCTTGTTTTAAAATTATGTTTTTGATCTTTTGATTGTTAACATTGTTAATTAATATTTTTAAAAAAATGTAAGCTGAAATTACATAAATATTTTAGACACAAATAATCTCTTTAAAAATAATCTGCTCATCTCTTTTCTCTCTCAAAAACATTAATAAAAAAAATAAAGGAATTTTGATATGCTGTCTTTAAATCTTCATATTGCATTTTGGTCCACCTAAAAAATCTTGTAATAGTCAACACTCATTCTTCCAATTTTTTTTTTCTTTCTACTCCTTGAAGATTTTTCTGTTCTCACTTTGGATTTAGTTTTTTTTTTCTCACAACTTTATCTCTTTTAATTGAAGGAATTTTGATTTGAAAGGAAAAATGAAATACAAAGAAATCGTTGGTGTTTCTTGGCCTTTTGCCACTTGAAGAGGAGAGGATTCACTAACATTCATCCCATGGAGACCACATTTGCCAAGGTCTTTCATTTCATTTCTTTTTTTATGTTATACTTTTTGGGATTTAAAATCTTATCTTTAACTATGGGTTGTTCTGTGTATTGTCTATGATTTTGCTATTCAACAATGGATTTCAAATCAAAATTCCTTTAGGTTTCCTTTTTCCCGATCAAGGTTTTTGGAAGAAGGATGAGCAATTTTTTCTTTCAAAAAGAATATTTTTACATTGAAAAAAAATCATATAAGAGGTATTTGTGTCTGAAAATATTTATGTGACATGAGATTTCAATTTTTTTAACGGTTGACTAACGTTATTAACAGTTAAAGGACTAAAAACATCATTTAAAAATAAAAAAAATCAAAATATCCTTTTAGAGTAATTGGAAGTGGCTTTTTAGATTTTACTGATTTACAGAGTGAGTTGTGCTTTTGATCTTTTGGTTGCTTTGTTGTGTGCTTTGATAAATCGACTTAACCTCAAGAAGTGGCTCTACACTCTAAAAAGGGAGGAAGGTACACCAATATCCTAGCACCTTAATACATTTAATGGATCCTAATAATATTGATTTTAATCTACTGAAGGATGGCTCACTTCTCAAACTGCACCACCTAAATTTGCTTCCTACCATGGGGAGGTCAACCAACCTCATTTCCCTATAAAGTCTCGAAGCTGCCCCATAGCTCTTACCTTACTTGTGATACTAATTCTCTCTCCTAGCTCACATACAACATTAAAATCTCCTCCGACATCAAGGTATTGAATATTGTGTCAATACTTAAATTAATTCTTCCCATAGCGCATTCGTATCGCCCTCGTTATCATTTCGTGTGTAGGCAGGTAAGTAAAATAGGCAGTTATAATTAGGTTCAATGTTGTAAACCCCTTAGTTTTTTTAATTTTTTTTTCAAAATATTGAACTTAATACATGATATTTGTTTAATCAAAACAAGTTCATGAATATGATTAGTCTTATTAAATAAAAGTTATGGATCTATCTATTTGAAAAGTACGTTATAAGAGATAACAAAGAAGATGAAGTTAAAAACCATAATTCTATACTGAAACTTGTCTTGCGCAAAGATGTATTCAAAGCAATAAATCAGATTGTATAATTTTCTCTTATTATATGAGAATATTACACCAAAACTTCTTAATGCATTAAAAAAAGTTTAAAATGAAGTTCAAAAGACATCAATTTTTTTAAAAAATAAGTAACATTAAAGTTATATTTTACAAAAATTTATTAATTGAGTTATGTATATATACAATTTTAATATATAAAAAAATTATTAATTTATATATTAAATGAAACTGATACATATATTTTAAATATATTATCTTATAAATTTAATGAATTATTAATTTATTACATTAATTTTAAATTAAAATTAATAAAAAATTATTTAATTAAAATTATTAATTTATAAAGATTATACTATACATATCATTTAAATAATAGCTTAGACAAGACCACGTTACCTTAGGTTGGCGGCTAGTGGTTCATATGACGTCGGCATAAGTAGCATTTTAATGTGACTGAAATTTCCGTAGTACTTCCAAGTTTGGGGAAACCAGTAAGGACCTACCACCATTACTGTATCTTTTCAACGATCTTAAAATTTACATATGAACTCACCCATTAAGGGGCAAGCATGAATGAATTTTTCACTTGTCAGTGACAAGAAGGAATTATTTTATTACCCAAGTGCTATACAGAGACTAGCCAAACTCGACTAGAAGCATACTAAAAGGCCTCAATATGTGAACATAGTTATTGAAATTCGTTCGTCACTTTACACCAAAAATCCAAACAAATGTGTTCTTAAGTCATCTTCGTATGTATTTCTGTTCACATTCCAATTCTCCTTAACGTGAGAGAATCACGGTTAAATCATAAATGTTAACCTGCTGATCCTGTGTATGAACAACAAATAATTAAGAAAATGCATTGTCCTTCCGTTTCCGGCCAATGGCAGCGAGATGTCTGTTTACCATTATCAAGGTAAAAAGACATAAGTAGCAAGATATATGTACCCTAATTAATGAAGAGAAACAGTTACTGGTAAATGGATAGGCGAACATAAAGAGGAAGGAGAATTTAGATCACTGGTGGTATTTTCCAGATACATTAAGTTGGGATCAGTCAGTGATCTTTGGCATTTGTATACGGTAATTTATACCTTAAAAGAGCAGTGCATATGGAAGATTCCAACGATGCGAAAGTTACCCTTCAATACACATAAACATTAATTTTTCCTTTTTCTGAATCTTTGTAATCAATCAACGAATTAGTATGTCCCAACCTTAATGAAAAGAACACCGTGTTGTACTTCTTTACAATGTCGCTGCGGTTGCTTGATGGTAGACAGACACACAGGTGTATAGAACAATTGTCTGGGGCCGTTTAACAAAGTATGGTCTGGTTTGTAGCCAGAGTTTTTTTGCCTTTGAAATGACTGAAGCTCAGAATTCTTGGCCTTTTCTACCTGGTATTTCTAAGTGTTTTTTCTTCTTTTTTATTTTTTTTATTAAATTAATATATTTTTTGCGTAGTACACACCTCCCTCTTGTTGTAGGAGATTCAAGGGTAAGAAAATGACACAACACGGAAACAGCGAGTTCGACGTTAACAACTTAAAAGCTACAACATTGAGATGTGACATCATAACTTATGTACGTTGCAAAGTGGTTTCTCTAAACCACCAGAAGGACTGTATTTCAGTTTATAATTATGTAATTTCAATGATTCTGCAAGGATTAATTAATTTAGAGGATTTAAATTTCTCTGATACTCAAACCAGGAGCATTTTCGAACTTAATTAAAATGGTGAGAAAATCTAGTGAAATACTCAAAGGCAATCAGGTGGTACACTAGAAGAACTAATCTATCTATATGTTTTGGAAGTTGAAGAGGATATGGCTCCTCGTCAAAGCTCTTATGGTTATTCTTCCCTGGAAGCAGAGTTTGCTCATTTAACAAAACAGTGCATAAATCCAGGTTGAAGGCAAGAAAGAGGAGGGCTTAAGGCTCAATATGATACAATATGCATAAATATTTCCCATTTCCTTTGTTTTTGTTTTACTCAATCAATGGCTTTATTTATTACAGAATAATCACAACACAAAGGATCGGAAAGCACTAGTACACTTGAAGCCATGATGGCTCAGTGACATAGTGATATAATAAAGAACGCCATACAACAACCACACCAGATAGACAACTACACAGCACACACCACTACCTGAGAACATATATATAAAAAACCATGAAAATACAAATATCACCACGCCTACATATGGAAGTCAGGATCGAGCTTCGACAGATCTTCGGCTGGAGACAGGCGCTGCACCAGAAAGCTCTAAACACTGCACCAGATTCTCAAAGCAAACAGAATCCATCAAAATCAGGAAACACATCAACACCTCACGCATAAAACAGCCTGCACCAGCAGCAACATAGCCCAGTAAACAAGCAGCAAATCACCACCAAGCAGAGAAAAAATATTTTCTATCAACCCCAAACTTGAATTGCGTTGGATATTTTCCATTTCCTTCTGTTGAATACTAACTCCACTAAATTATCAATACAGAAACAGTGCTTAAAAATTACATATCTCTCTAATCCAAGCAAAGATCTATTTACTTGGACTACAAAAGGAACAAATTAATTCAGTTGTTCGTCCAAGCTAGTAGCCTTCTATTGTCGTAGCATTACAGGTAGCCCAACCTTCAGTATCAGCATGCTCAGCTTCCCAGTCTTGTAGGATCTTTTGCAGTTCCTGCGGACGACAAGGGAGACAAAGAACCCCCTTTTGTTGGAATCCATATTCTTCCCCAGCCTGCTCCAGTAGACTCAGGAATGCAGGGTTTGTTAAGTTGTCTAGTTCAATGACAAACCTCTGCGTTTCCTTTCCTTGAACTGCAAACACCGTAAAATATCCTGCCCCAACATCATCTGACATTGGTGTAGCTACGTTTATTTCTTCATCGACCTCAACATCATTAATGACAGCTTGTCCTCTGGAAGGTGAGACACAGAACCCCTTGCGTATTTTCTGAAGGAAAGGCCTAAACATTTCTAAACCTCTTTTTGTTTTCTTCAAAGCTCTTGATAAGATTCCCCTCTGTGAATTTAAAAGAGTCTCTTTAAAGCTCTATGCTCCTTGTTGCTGAGAGTGCGAGGCAATTTATATTGGTTTGTAAGTAGTATATGGGAAATTTCTAGGAAGAAGTGTGGAGCCAACAGAAGAGTTAGTGTGTCCAAATGGTCGAGTTAACTTCCTTTACGCAGATTAAAAGACACGGTACACGGTTGACAACCTAATTATTAATGTCCAACTTCCGTGCTAGGAGCTTTATCTACGACTGCATGCATTAATTTTGCCTTACCTTTACACAAGATTTGGGAATTAATGAGCCTAAATTGGAGTTCATATTTTTTTTTAATTAGTTCTTGTTTTATGTGCTTCAGACTTGATTGATTTCATAGTGATCTCATAATTATGGTAATAAAAATTAAATACTTAGAAAGCGTTTGGTACTAGAAAGATATTACTATTTTTTATAATGTGAGTGGTAAATTGCTTTACAATGTTTGATAAGAGAAAAAATCAATGTAATGTAACATATATTGCAATAGTATAACAACCAATGGAAGGAATCACATTACCATTAAAAACCAGTCTAATGTTACTTTGTACTAAAAACATAATGTTGTTTGCAGACATTTTTAAAGGAAATTAATTTAAAGAGAATCTATATCTTCTTTAGCTTTATATTTGTTCACAATATGTAGAATGGAGCTTGATATGTCATATGCCACAAGACTTGCAATATGAGAGGATATCACAACATCTGCATGCAAAAGATTCTAACAGGTATTATACTACAATGGCGAAGAATAGACTAGTCTGAGTAAATGTCAATTAACAAAGTCTTATCAAAGAACTAGTTCAGATCAGAGGAGTTTTATGGATGCAAATCAGAAAATGTCCTTTCTTCTTCTTGACCATGTCTCTTGATGTTTGCTATAGACATGAGCTTGCATAGTTACAATCAGATTCAGAGAGTTTTTAAAACTGCAACTCACATGCATTCTGGCAGAACAGGTGTGATAGGCTGGGGCCTGGGGGCCAAACACATGTGAATCTTTTGCTCTTATCAACTAGTAGACCCTTTAATACATTTCTGCTCAACGTGTTCACAGATAGAGACCAGCAAGTACGTATGCAGATGAGAGGATAAGGATGCCCGCGTTTGAGGCCTTCGCGGTTCCTCTATCTCTTTCATGCATTCCCCAATGTTGAGCTTTTAGTCAACAGAATGATTTTTCTTGTCCAGATACCTTTTTCAGTTTTGGCATGAAAAAACGGCTGCTGTTTTGCATTTTTTCTTTCAGAATTTGCTACAGTTTTCCAGCCTAGCAGTAAGTTATGATCACTAGTCCATTCCTATCTTTTACTAGGAAGGAAGATAATTGCTTTTACTATTTTTTTCTTATTGTTTTGATGAAGCCAAAGTACTAACTGTGTTTGATTTAGGTAATGGGCATAAACTGTTGTATTAGAAACTAGGAAGCATGCTTTCCTAACCATTCTTATGGTTTGCAAGTCTCCATATTATATGCAGCTGTCAAGTGACCATCAAGAGGTACCTGTGCGCTGGTGACTTTGTCATGTTCTCCAGGGAGATGTAGCCGTGTCTGGGTTCCTTTGCCAGTGGTGCGTGTCGAGTTGATTATGTTGATCCTTCTTTGCTGGGATCTGTCAACGTGCTGTCAACTTTTCTACTCCGATTGGATCTTGGTTTTGATGATCAAGGGCTTCAATGGTTCTTGAAGTCTCTTCTCTGTTTTTAGATCATTTTTGTTTTGTGGTCTTTGGGTATTGCTGTCACTATTTGAGGTTATTTTCTAAGAATTATGTCGTTGTTGTTTAGCCTCCTTGTTCCCTGTTGTTGTTTTTGATCTTAGGCAGGATAGAGTTTTTTTGTGAGGTTCTGATTGATGAGGGCATGCTGCTGGGTTATGTAAACAGTGTGTAAATCTTTTTGTTCTGACTTTTCTTGCTATATCGGTTTTCTTTCATACCAATGAGAGTCTCTGGCAGTTCCAGTTCGAGACTATCAATGGTTTATTGGTTAATGGCCAATAAATTCCATTTTTCAAAAACAAAAGTGAAATGGGAATGGATTTAGGTTACTTGCTGAAATATCTATATTTAAATGCCAAGAAGGCTAGCTGGTTAGAATAGATCATTGGCCATTTTAAATACTCTGCCGAATGCGGTAAGTAGTTGAACTTCAGCTGAGAGACAAGCTAGCATTTAATGTGGAAAGCTATTCTAGAGAGTAAAGACCTATATATCACCATAGATTTTACTGTACCTTTAAGCAAGTTGCATGCTTTGCCCGGGAAGAAAGTCGGGAAGAAAGGAAGATGACTACGCAGTGCACCATTCAATTATTGGAGAAAGCAAGAAATGGGTTATATCAATAATGCAGGAGAATAGGACCAGATGATGCCATTTCCTTTCCTTTTTCCTGATTCTGGCAACTAAATGCCTTGAAATCATCATTCAAATCAATGTTTATAATAATTGGTTTAACATAATTAGTGCCTTGGAAGAGAAACTGCAAAGAGATACAAGAATATAAAGATGCAGGTTGACTCAAAATGTGGCTGTTTATTCAGAACTCTATTCGCTTTCTGCTACTGCAAGGCTGTAGCAAGTAAGGGCCAATGCATAATCATTCAGAGGCTAATTAACTATTCATGATTCTCAAAATCAACATTGATGAGGTCTATAAAATGTTCTGATATATATTTCACTATTCTTGTTCATTCTGCATGGGAAGGGAATCTTAGAGCCATTTGCATCATTGGATCAATAATTCAATATCTATGACTGTGACAAAGCAATGCATCTTACGTGTCTGCAAATATAACTCCGTGTTGTCCCAACGTACAGAGTACAATTTTGCTAAGTTTGTCAGATGGCTGGCAAACAAATAAATATATATGCCAAGGTCCTGGGACCGTATAAAGTAATGGTCTTGTCTGTGGCCACCATCTTGCTTTTGAGGTTACTGGAGCATAGACTTCAGAGGCCTTAATTATCTACACGATATTTCCATAGATTCTTGCATACCTGACGTTGCAAGATTATAGAGTGACAAAATGAGTAGGCTTGATGTAGACCGCACATCACATGTTAACATTAGCAGTCAAAACTACAGTATTGACTAGATATTTCATACCTTACCTCAAAAGTTTGAGAATTTAAGGTTCCGCAGAGGATTCTTTTGGAGATAACTTATGCACTATATATCAGTCAACAAGTATGGAAAAATCAAGGAACTGTAAAACTGTACGAATGAATACAGCCTCCCCAATCGCTATATGAGAATGCTACAAGATCAACAACATCGGATCGTGTAAACTTGACACCATAGCTTAAAGTGCCCTTTAGATACCTCAGCAATCTTTTTGCAGCAATGAAGTGTGATTTGCATGGCTGCTGCATAAACCTTGACAAATAAATAACTGAGAACATGATCTCAGGTCTAATTGAACATATATACAAAAGACAGCCAATAAGACTTCTATATTCACCAGGATTATTGAGTTTATCAACTGCATCAGTAGGTAATTTTTCATTGGCGACAAGAGGAGTAGCTACTGCCTTGCAGTTGTTCATTTTAAATCTTTTCAAGACATCAAGAATATATTTCTGCTGTGTTAAATGAATACCATTCCTGGTCTGTGATACTTCAAGTCCCAAAAAATACCTCATCAACCCCAAATCAGACATATCAAACTCTTTCTGCAAATCTGCTTTGAATTTTTCAACTTCATGACAATAAGCACCAATTATCAAAATATCATCTACATATAATGATACAATTAAAGAGACACCATTACCTCTTTTTAAGACATACAAAGTTGCATCATTCAAGCTTTTTTGAAATCCTTGACTTTACAGATAAGAGTCAATTCCAGCATTCCAGGCACTTGGTGCTTGCTTTAAGCTGTATAAGGCTTTGTGAAGCCTATACACTTTGTCTTTACCAGCTTCAGCTCCAAACCCCATAGGTTGTTCAACATAAATCTCCTTAGTTAGTCTACCATTTAAGAAGGCAGACTTAATATCAAAATGGAGTAGTTTCCAGCCAAATGCTGCAGAAAGTGCTATGAGTAGCCTGATTGTATCTAACCTTGCCATAGGAGCAAAGGTATCAAAATAATCCACCCCTGGCAATTAAGAAAACCCCTTAGCAATAAGCCTCGCTTTATACTTATTCAAAGACCCATCAGAATTTATTTTTTTTTTGAAAACCCATTTGACTCCTGTCACTTGTCTGTGTTTCTGTCTTTCTACAAGTGTCCACTTCTTGTTCTTCTCAATCATATTAATCTCTTCCTTCATAGCAGCTTTCCATTCATCATAAAGCACAGCTTCATCAAAAGAGTCAGATTCGGAGACAACAAATTGACATCTATCATAAATATCTTGAATAGGACTTGTACCTCTCACTGGTGCTTCATCAATAGTCTGGTCAAGATCAAGTTCACTTGGAACAACATTTTGGTCATCAAAATTTTTTTGTTGTGGTTCTTCCCAGTCCCACTTGTGATTTTCATCAAAAATAACATCTCTGCTTGTGGAAATCTTACCAGAATCGATCAGATAAACTCTGTAGGCTTTTGACTCCAAGTTGTAGCCTACAAATATTCCTTTTTGCGCTTTAGGTTGCAATTTATTTCTCAGTTCAGCAGGAACATGCACATAGCACAAACATCCAAAAATGCGCAAGTGACTTACTGATGCCCTATTCTGGAACCAAGCTTCATGTGGAGTCACATCTTTCAAGGCTTTGGTAGGAAAAAGATTTAGTAGATACACAGCAGTGTTGGCTGCTTCTGCCCAGAAGTTCTTGGGTAGTCCCTTCTCCATCAATAAGCACCTGGTCATCTCCATTATGGTTCAGTTTTTCCTTTCACTAACACCATTTTGCTGAAGAGAGTATGAAGTAGTGAGCTGATGTTGAATGCCTTCCTTTTCAAGATATTTAGAAAATGTCAAAGACTTGAATTCTCCACCATTGTCTGATCTGAGAATTTTAATTCTTCTTCCTGATTCTTTTTCAACTCTTGCCTTGAATTTCTGAAAACAGTCAAACACTTCTGATTTATTCTTGAGAAAGAAAATCCAACACA